GGAGATAACAAGCAAGGCATTCACTACAAAGAATGGTGGGAAGGACTAAAGGTAGTGTCAGGAAACTGTGTGTGAGGAAGCAGAGAGGGACTGTCACAGTAGGGGTGGGAAAGAACACCAGCCCAACAATTCAGATTAGGATTCGAAATGCCACAGATGTGATTGCATAATAAGCTGCTGAGCGTGCTGTTAAGTGCTGCTTTCAGCATGTGAGTGTTTGTCACATTGTCTTGTGTTCCCAGTGTCAGAGGGCCTGGGATGCTAGCCGCAATTCCATGGGCAGCAGCACCTATGGTAGAGATAGCAGAAAGAGCAGCAGCCTGGTGTTCAAATATGGTTGCTAGGATACCGTGGAGACCCTCCATTGCTAGGCAGACAGGGGAAAAAAAATGTGCCCATATGCCTTATAACCTGCAAACAGCAACAATGGAAACATCGAATGTCTCACTCTACCCTTTCCTAACAAAAATCCAAACCAACTCTAATGAAACACTAAATGGTGAGGGCTTGGAAATCCACCCCAGTAGAGCAAGGAAGATGGTCATTTATATTCTCAAATAGTCCCAAGATCTACTCTTGTTAAGGCTTGTCAGTATTTTCATTATAAGTCCCATTTTAGGGGCAAGCAACTTTATTGGACTTCCAAACACCCTAACAGGATATTTAGCAACATGATCCTATATAATATTATAAAGGTTTTGCACAACTTTGTTTCACTGTATAGGCTGTGATGTCAAATTAATGCTCAAACTTAATTGGAAACTATTCTAATAATCTTAGGTCAGAATTTAACTCCCCCACAGAAGCTGGGAAGATGGATTTGAGTAACTAAAAGATTGCATTCTCATCCATATCAATCTGCCCAGGTATGTGAGGAATCTGCAGAGCTGGCTTATGGCATATAACTAAACTCTTTTCAGTGGTACATAGAAAGGTATTTGGTTTCTTTAAGAGTCTTCATCATCCGTCTTTTGGTTAAGGTTAAATATTCTAACCTAGTTAGTACAGTTATGGTGGACGGTTAGAACCACAGCCTGATTTTCAGTGTTTCACCACTAACTAGCCCTGGTGAAACACACACACACAGGTGCGCCCTTACACACTTGAGCACACATGGTTCTTAATAATTTTAAAAAGAAGCATAAATTTCTCTGATCCACTTTATAAAGTCATAGAAACTGAGCTTTAGTGCCCTATGGCACTCGGGGAAAGCCTCTAGTTGCCACCATTCTCTGGCTGTGCCCTGTCTCTGTTGATGGCTTGAACTGTCTCAACATCCCTCACCCCCACTCTTCACATCATGGAGTGCTTAAAACATGGCAGCCTCACCAGTACTAAACACAAGACACTGTACTTCGGAGAAGTTCCTGATATTATGCACTTCAACAGGAGCCACAGAACCCACCAACTGTTTTAGTGGACTGCTCTGCCTTTCCCCTTACGCAGGTGTCTAAACATTTACTTGGTGGTATTGTTGGGTCCCTTACTAACTCTGTAATGGCAAGGCTTGTGTGCCTTACAAGAATTTCCATTTGGAAAGTATCACAGACAGGTATTGAACTGACTTGCAAGGCTCATTAGAAATTTAGTACCTTCACAGAAATCTATGTTCTAATATTAGGCTGTGTATAATCACAATAGAATTCTATGATTTCCATGACTTTCTTCAGAATTAAACACATAGCATTTAGGGTGACACCGTTTCTGTTGGAATATAATATAAAGGATTCAAAATGCACATAGGATCTTTTAAATTTTAACACCTTCCTAAAAATGGGAAAAATATGTTTCGCTTCTATCTCCAATTCTTCCAAAGTATTTCACAATCACAAAGTGAAACATAACAGAACATGTATGTCATCATTCTCTGAAGTGAAGCCACCGCAGGGGTAAATGCAATCGCTTTACAAAAACACTCGGACGTTAACAAGTTTTGATAGGAGCTCAAGTTGAGGTAGTCCAACTGAAATGACATAGAAGGCTGTGACAGCAAAACAGAAAAGACTTGGGAACAGTGAGTGCATCTTCAGAAGTGAAATGTCATGAAATAAAATTATTTTAGAAGTTCACGTGACCCATCGGGTGGCCTGATCTCACAGACTGGATGACTGGGTTTGTTTGTTTGTTTCACTGTTAGGGAGCTTTTGCTCAATGTATTTTGGAACACAGAATCTAGTGGTTTTACATCTTTAAGTATTTTGTTGGCAGCAGTATAATACAGATTCCAGTTTGCTACAGCAGTTCTTCCCCACATCCATAAATAACCCAAGAAGGGTTTAAAGGTGGCATCTGTGTAGACTGTGAAATAACAACGATCCCACGCCACCTCACAGGTATAGCAGAAATGCCCAGACCCACTGTGGTGGAATCCAACAGAGGTTCTCTTCCAATTCTTACCTTAGAAAGAAAATCCCAAGGAAAAACTGTTAAGATGATAAAAGTTATTGGGCTACTTTAAATTTTGTACTGCTTTTTATCCCCACATGATCAATGGTTACTAAGGGGAAAAAAAAAGTTGTAAATACTGTAATTCTCAAAAAGCAGCCTCAGTAAGGGAACGGTAGAAGATACATTCCATTCATCAGTTGGTCATTAACTACACCTACTGGAAAGATAACCAAAAACCAAGAGAATCATGCAACTGAAACCAATTCCAGTCTACTTAGATAGTTTCACTTCAACCTTAACTTAATCTTTAGGAAAGTGATTAAATTTAAGATTCACTAAAGATTAAAGATGTAAACACTTGTTGCCGGTAAGTCTGAATAATAAAAAGAATCAAATAAAATACAATGAAATGCAAAAAAAAACTATTTTTAGGGTGACACATTTTCATAATTCTACATGGAGCTGTCATGTACAGCCACTCAAATGGCATAGGATAACAGCTATTTTGCATGCAATATACTTCTTTTCCCCTAAGAAAGGTACACTACCACTCAAGGCAATTTTATTCCAGTTTCCTTTATGTAAGTGTGAAAAAAAGAACAGATGTTTTTCCAAAATTATTTAAACTTGGAAGACATTTTATCATTTTCTCCAATATAATCCTTCAGAATTAGAAAACTCATAGGCTATACCACCTTAACAATGGTGAAAGTCATCAAATAAGGACCAGAGTGCAAAGCATGTTCAACAGATACAATGTTTGTCCTACAGGGATACTAACAAAGAATGTGCTTTTCTAATGTTATTTTCCACTGTGGACTTTGATAAAAAACACCAGTGCCCTGAGAGTCTTCCAAATGTACCACATTCTACAGTTCATTCCTGCTGTCCGGATTTCTTTAGACTTTCTCAAATAGAATGCTTAGCTGGAGTTATCAGCTGGACTGATCATACTCCATCTAAAAGCCTATTAAAATGGGTCTTTTTTAAAAGCAGAGTTTGTTCTTGGTAACTCCAAAGTCCTGCAGATACTAAAATGACAATCCTACAGACCGTTTAAAGATACAAAGAGCTGCCTCTGAGTTATATTTTCATTATGCAAAACTTGGCCCAGGAGAGATGGCCATGTACCTTGTTAACTGAAACAGGCGAACATGCCAGCAACTGCAAATTAATTTACCAAAGAAAGCTCCAATGGATTCAGATCACTCAGTTTCTAAGACAAATTGAAACCAGCTGATCTATCATGGTAACTTGGTAAGGTCTGGATCTCAGAAATATTTATCCTATCCCTATCAACTCTCTCCTACTTCACAGAATTCAAACTCCTTCAGCTAAGCCTGCAAATGATTCATGGGAGCCGACATGTATAGATTGGGCTTGTAAGTTTTCAAGAAGTATACAAAGTATATATTCATAACCCTTCCCATCCAAGAAATATAAATGGAGATAACCAAGCATTCCCTATCTCCTCTTATGAATTCCGTGTGTTTAGGAAGTAAAGCTTTCCCAGGGACCTTCTGTTATTATGTAACACGTGTCATCCAGCAGTGTTATGTAGTTAAGAGCAGTACAACAGAATCCTCGGCTTTACCAATTATGTCATTACTATTAATTAAAATGCCATTCAGATGGTGTTCTGGTTCTGTTGCCGTCCTGTCCCTGCTGCTCACTCTCCATATGGACTCTGGGGTTGAGTGTTGTGTAACAAGTTTCATTCAATGTTCCCATCCAAGTTATGAATCCTACTGACATCAGAACTATACTGCTCTTTAACATGCTAGAACGGCAGAAGAGCGGCTTTAGACCTGAGTGTGAGACACAACATGGTCCACACGGGAAATAACGTGGCCTTGACCACACTGGCCCTGAAAATACACGAACCCTCTAGGGAAATGTTCTTTACTAATCATGTGAGAATCCTTTTAGAAAAACAAGTCATATTCTCTCTCGGATATTATGAAAACATTTTTTTTTTAAGAATCAACAAACTAGACTTCCATGTATGGACTGTAAATGTCATCCAACTCAGGAAATTAAAAAAAATATTCTGTTTTATATGTATATTGACTTATCCTTTTACAGTTTGATGGTGACAGAGCATCAGGTTTGAACAGTACCAGCGTGAAGTGCCGGCGGCATGTAGAAAAATACAGGAGAGCCACAAGAGCGTGGAAAGTCAGGATAATATCAACGCATTTCATTTCAGTCTGATGAGCCTGCAGTTAGGATTTTCCGGCTGGCCAGGTTGGCTGGGGCTTTGGGAAAGACGGGGTTCTGATTCCTCCATTCAACAGTCACTCACACACACTGTCAGACACACACCTGGGGCGCGTCCAAACTCTATGTACAGTAGGTGGCATATATGAACGTATGTGTATATTTTAAAAATACCTTGGCATCTGACAAAGGCACGAAGGCAACGGATAAGCAGGGAGTCTGGCCCTGAGAAACGTGCACAGCCCCTCAAGAAGTGCCGTGAAAATGAGACATTTCTGAGGATGAGGACAGACATGGCAAGCGGGAGGGGCAGGGGCTGACAGACAATACAGAGACCCGCAGCTTCCCACCACCAGGGCGCCACATGGACCCAGGCGCCTAACCCTGCTTACTGTGGGCTCTTGGGGTAGAAGGGCAGGGTCACGTGGCTGAGATCCTGGATGTCGAAGGCGGTGGGCTCCGCGGAGATCGCCTGGCGCTTCGTGCGCGGTTCACCCTGCAAGGTGCTGGCGCTCTGCTTCTGCGCCTGCTGGGTGGCGGGCCGGATCACAGAGCGGTACTTGTCCAGTTCGTTCTGCAGCTTCTGGATCAGTTCGTCCTTCTGATCCAACTCCAGCTCCAGCTCATCGATGAGAGCATCCCGCTGCCTCAGCTCCTCGATCTTCTCCTGGAGCGCATACTGTAAATCCCGCAGGGTGCCCATGCTCCTCCGGGCTGCCGGGGGCTCCTTCCTGCCGCTGCTCCGCGTCTTGGGGCTTCCTCCCCTCTCGAATCAACTTTCCCTAAAGTCGTCGCTGCCTCGCGAGTGCAAAAGCTTCCTTCGACTTGAGACCAAAGCCAAACCTGGCTTCTGAGCATGCCCAGTCCGCCGCTCCAGCCACCGAGAGTTTCAGTGTGCAGATTCCACTTCTCCGGGTTTAAGGATGAGCAAAACAGGTCCAGCCCAGGATGAACCTGAAAGGCGGTGGGCGCCGCGGTGCCTGGGAGAGCAGAGCCTGAAGGCGCTGTGACCCGCGGGCGGGAGGAAGGGGACTGGGCTTGGAGGAGGCGGCTGCTCAGCTAGGGTCACCAGCGCCGTTTGCCAAAGGAAGCCAGCGATGTGTGTGGGGAGCCTGATAAAGCTCGGGGGCGCTGGGGCTGTGCGGGCGGAGCGAGGCTGGAGCGCTACTTTGGAGGTGGAGAGGTGGGAGGGAGAGGACCCAAAGCGAACTGGAGAGGCGTCAGCGGGCTCAGGCTCCAGAATGTGGGGCTAGGTTCCTGTCGACCAAGGAAGGCAGCAGGGACTATGCATGCTAACAGCTCTGACTTCTGTAGGGATTGTGACCACTGCCTCACAGAGGAAAGCGGTGTAACTGAGCTCTGGCGTCCCTCAAGCCACCTCTCCCACCGGGAGCGCCTCACACAGGTGTCTTAAGGCTTGCAAAGAAACTTGCCTCTCTGAAGGTGAGAGCTGTGGTGCCTGGGAGGGATTCCCCAGGCATCTAGGAGCCTTTGGGGAAGGTTAGGGTTGGGGTATCTGACTCCCCCCAACCAAGCCTCCCACTCTTTTATTCTCCCCTTTTTCTGCACCAGTCAAACTCAGATAAATGAATTTTTCTAGGGGCAAAGGCCAAACCCCAAAGGAATTTGGGCCTGAGAAGGCCTCTAAGCTGCTGCCTGGCTAGCATCAGTTGAGGCCTGGCTTCTTCCATTTGCTGGATTTGGTGAAGTGGGTGGGGGCTTAAATATCACAGCAGAGTTTCAAAACATTCTTACAGAAAGAGAACATATCTTTTCAATGTTACTTATGTGGCTGCCCCACAGTTAATGGAGGATCTTTGCTAACTTTGGAGAAGAGGTAAAATCGAAAACTGATGGGAAAACTACAGGAACTGTAACTTCACTGTACTACCTTTCTCTCTCTCTCTCTCTCTCTCTCTCTCTCTCTCTCTCTCTCTCTCTCTCTCTCTCTCTCTCTCTCTCGCTCGCTCGCTCGCTCTCCACCACCACCTTCACCAGCAAGACCTCGTAGTGTGGGCAAAAATTCTGGTAGGGAGGTGGCAATCTATCAGTCCAAGAATTGGTCTCTCATCTTGGGAACACTTATTTAGAATGCACAAAATATTTATTTAATGCTTATATAAGTGCCTAATAGTTAATTAAACCTTCATCAGTTCTTCCAAATTTATTGTTTTTTTTTTAAATTAGTAGCTTTAGTTTACTGTTCTCCCACACTGTGTTATAATTCTCAGTGTTCTATCTGTCCACCCTTTAACACTTAAACAAAAGAGATGGAAAATAAATTAAACCCAAATTGCAGTATACAACTACTGCCTGGAATCTCAGATTAGCCAAGGACACAAATCTATCTTCAAAAAATGCTCACTTATTTCTTTAAACACATAGTTTTCTGTATCTGAGCTTTGAAAAAAAACAAGAAAAAGAGGAAAAGAAAGTTTAGCCACTTGCATATCAGCAAGCTTTTTCTTTTCTTCATTATTTCCTTCCTTTCTTTCTTAATTTCAAGTATGCTTCTTGGTAATTGGAAGTGCAAATGAAAGGGATATGCAACCCTACACATTTTTCTCAAAGACTGTGATTTAATTCTCTCTACAGATGACGTCGTGTTCATTCTTTCCAACAGGAAGATTTGAAGTACATTTGCTTCAGAATGCAATATGGAAAGTGCAGAGGTCATGAAACATTTTCAAAAGATAGCAGTAAATAAGAGTTACTGCTGTTTTCCTTAAAAGTCAACTGAGCGGAAGTACTGTGACTTTGTATGACTGATGGCACCCTTGAGCAGCTTTCTTCTGGAACAATCTCCTCTCCCAGGCAAAAGTCCAGAATTTTAGTTAACCTGTGGAAATGCTCTACTTCCCTGGGAAAAATATTTCATGCTATTTTTTTCTTATAGATTTATTTGGGAGTCTGTAGAGCCGGGAGTTTACATCTAAAAATGTATAATAAGCAGTGAGTGAGAAAACTTTGTTTACAGTGTCTCTTGAGGCTTAGATGAGGTGACTCAATGTCTCACCGCAGAAGAGAAGGAACATGCTGCCTTGTGTGTACAAACCTTGTCTACAAGGAAAAGAAGGGAAGAAAAAAGTAGCAAATTGTTCCCTGCCCCTCAAAAAGTATGTTTAAAACAGCACTTAAGCCATAAGTATTCAAGATTTTTATCAAAGTGAGATATTTTTTTCCAATACTTAACTGCATACTTTTCTTAAGTGAGAGAACTACCCACAAACTATAGCATGAATGCCGGCCACAGTCGCATTTAAAATAAAATGCTCAAAATTCAAAAAGTGTTCCGGGATGGGTCTGACGTTACAAATCAGAGATCTGCTGCAAGAAACGCAAAGAAAGGGAATGCTTGAAAAGAGCTGACGATTTCAAACGACTAACACTTTGAAAGGGGCTCAAGGCACAGAATATATTGTTACATTTTCCTTTATTACAGAGAATATTGAATCTCTCCCAAGACTTTTATAACTTTGTGCAACACTTAGAATTCTGAGATTTTCTTTGTAATTAATAAGATCGTGATAAATATTATACATTGATTTTTTTTTGAGGGATTGCACATACCATTGTGCAACTCACAGGTGTTCTTTCCTTCCACTACAGGAGTCCTGGGGGTTTGAACTCAGTTCCTTGGGTTTAACATGTGCCTTTACCCACTAAAACATCTCACTGGCTCTCAAATATATGCTTTAACTAATTTGTTGAAGCATGTTTTTGACTGGTTGTTTAGATTGTAAGTGATAAGATTTTGTTTTGGTTTTGTATTGTTCTTGACCAATGCTGGAAATAAATTTTATTTGAGAAACCAAGGTCCTGAAGTTATTTTTCAACAGATGAATTATTTTTACTCTGCATCCATGGTAAATTTTTAAAAATACATATTCTTTGAATTATGCTCATTTGTGTGTGTGACTATCATTATATACACATGGGCGCAGAGATTCTCAGTAGTCAGAAGTTGCCCAGTCCCCTGAAGCTGGAGTTTAAGGTGGTTGTGAGCTGCTGTATATAGGTGTCATTTTTTTTTTTTTTGGTTTATTGCTTTTATAGAAACAATTAACATTCATTTTCTATAAATTAAGCACAATTACTCTTTTCTTTCTCACTCATAGAATTAAATTAGTCATATGATTGCATTGGAGAAGGATATTTGATTATAAAGAATCTACATTTGGGGCTAGGGAGATGACTCAGAGGTTAAGTTCAGTGGCTGCTCTTTCAGGGGACATGTGTTCAATTTTCAGCACCCACACAGTAGCTTGCAATGATCTGAGGCCCTCTTCTATTCTCCATGGGTACCAGGCATATACACAGTGTACACACATACATGTAGGCAAAACACATACAGGCATAAAATAAAATAAAAATTGAAATAAAATTTTGAGTATATATTTAAATAGCTATCAGCAACTTCTAATGGTTGGACTCTTAAAGTCATGTTGCTTCAAATGGTAAGTTCTGCATGGGAAAGAGGAGAAGAGAAAAGAAAAGAAAGGGCATTGGTGATGTAAACTTCCTTCAGTGACTTGGAAAGCATAAGTACTGCACTGAAATTGCTAATGTGCTTAGCACTTAATACTGAATTAGTGTCATGCCTGATGTTAGCTGAAATGTATCCTCATAGTTGATGGCTCAAAATGGTGGTAAGTTATTGTTGGACCTTAGGCTAGAGCAGTCTTTATTAAAACCTAGGCACTAACAGAATGAATGCTCTTTACGAACTCATTAGTAAGCTGTACATTTTTTTTAATGCCAGAAGGAGAAGATTTTAAGAGAAAAGGGTTTGTATCCTTCACAAATGTAAATAGTAAAATGGATAAAAGTTAATTTAAAATACTTTTTAAGTCCCATACATGCTTGTAATCCCAGCACTTGAGAGATACGGCACAAGGACCTTTTGTTCACAACTAACCTGAAACATAAAGTGAAATGATCTCCAAAAAAAACGAAAGGATTAGTTCAGAAACACTTTCTTTAATTTTTTCAAGTATTTGTTTAATTTTTTCTGTGTGTGTGTTTTGCTTACACACACACACACACACACACAGAGAGAGAGAGAGAGAGAGAGTACCATATGCATATACAATGCCTACAGAAGGACCTCAGATACCTTGGAACCGAGGCTATGGTGGTTGTGAGCCACACTGTGAAAACTGAGAACCAGCCTCAATCCTCTGCAAGAGGAGCAAGTGCTCTAAAGCTCTGAGCCATCTCTCTAGCCCTTCTTTGCAACATCCAACTGTCTCCCATTCACGATTAATGAATTACACTTTCCATTTCAGTGGTTCTGGCTTATGAAATCTACATACTTTCCTAATTTAAAGTATTAAGATTTTCCACAAAATATTCTAAAATATCTGCTGTTAGTCCTTAACCGGCAGTGCCCACGTGTGCTTCCACGAGGGCCTGTTATCTTACTGGAAAATCCGAACTTTAAATTGTGTGTTTCATCAAATATCCCTGTGGGATATAGTTCCTTGTAATTACTAGTGAACTTTGTCTATTTTGTTCTTTAAAATAAGAATTTTAGCTTTCATATTATGAGTTTAGAGGCTCTTAGAAATATGTTTTAACTGTTATAATTTTGGAAACTCTAAGAATTCCTGTGGTACTGACTTATTGTCCCAGAATCTCAAAAAGTAACATGTCAGGAATTTTAAAACAAAAGGAAACTTCTTTGTTTTTTTTTTTTTTTTCTTTTTCTTTTTTTTTTTTTTTTTTTTTTTTTTTTTTACTGTATGATATAACTCCAAATTATGTCATGATGATGAATATCTTGTGCTTTTAAATTTTAACAAAGCAGAGTTGGTATCACGTGACCTAGAAGAGCATATCTCTGTGGTTAGTATTTTCCCTTCATCGTTACTTTTATTTTAATTTGTCCTTAACGGCTGGCAGGAATTGGCTAACCTTCTCCTAGATGTTTTGTCTGTCTGAATTTAAAGTAAAGAAAATCTACTTTTTACTAGTGAAAACATTGCCATTATTAAGGTGGGAAAGTACTGAAGATGGACAATAGGAAGTAAAATAGGCCAGCGATTTAATATTTGATCAGTATGTAAAATGACTGAATTAAGCCAAGAGAATTTCCTGTAATTGTAAAAGAGGAAATCGAGGAAGAATGATTACAGACAAAACACACTTCGTCAGAAACTCCAAAGCTATTTTTACTCTCATTAACTTAACAGGTGGGCACGTGCCCCTTCACTTCAGATTAAGGAAATTTTAATACTGTGACTTTCATATAGTCATCTCAGATGCATGTTCATAAATCCATCTTTCTATTGAGAAGCAAATGAAGCACTAAGCTGCTAAAATGAATGGACATCATTCCATTTCAGAGGCAAGATAAATACCTGATGCTTATGAGAGTATCACTCTTGGGACAGGGTGGAAGCTAGATC